ATAAGGTATCTAATTACGTTCTTTATGTCTTAAATTCCATTTGCCTTCCAGCCATCTTAGCTTTTTGTTTTTTAATATTTGAAGGCTCTGGCTCCACAGTAGTTCTACATGTTCATCTTTCAAGGTTGACATAGGTAATTAGGAGGCTCACAGCAGAGGAGAAGGGTAGGGCGCCTTTCCCGTGCTATGTTGGTGTGCTGTTACTCTTCGAAATTTTTCTAGAGGGAAGTGTAATCCAGGACTCAAAGATACCAATACTAAGCCATGCATGCTTGTTTGAATAGCAGAAACCCTGGGCAATTCAGGCTCCTCAGATAAGGCATTTATCAGTTCCCCGGAAACATTATCAGGAGACTTCAGTGAGCACAGTTTAGCGGCACAGCTTCCTCTACTCTCACCTAGGACTTTTTCACTGCTAAACCTTGACTACCTTCATCTCAAAATTCATTTGTACTTTCTAGGGCTCCTCCACTCTTGTACGGGACTTTTTCACTCCTATACCTTGACTAACCACCTAAATCCCCAAATGCAGTTATATTTCGTAGGGCTAACTCAGCTCTATGTCCCATGCCCTTTGCCCAGTGTTGTTCTGTGAAGAGAGACATCCAAGAGCTGGATCTGCCTTCTTCATCACATGGTATTCACATGCTGCTCACAGTTCTGTTACCTGTCTTAATTGATCCGACACTTGGAAATTAAACAAATTAGCAAGTCAAAATCTTCCTAACTGGGCAGGATACAGTTCATGAGGAGTAAAACACATCTTTTAGACATCCTTGGCAGTACTACTGAGATCATGAAATTACTCTGAGGGTCTCATGGGCACTTTAGAAACTGGTCATAGGGACCCAAATCACACTTCCCCAGCAATGATAGCAGGCCGTGGGTAGTGTCTGTGGACTGTGTATACAAAATTTTAGTTCTGTCTTTCCCTTTAGCTCGACATTCTTAGTCATATCAAGATCTATGAAAAACCTTAAAAATGAACCTTAAAAATGAGTGGGAGAACTGCTCTCATAGTCCTCCAAGAACAGGATCAAACACAGCCACTATACCCGATAACCATTGGTGCTTAGAGGTCCCCTGATTCAAACACAATTTCAACTACAATTTCAATGAAGGAAAAATGTAGAACTCTTGATGAAAAGCTCAAGAAAACTTGGCAATGTGATCAATTCCCTTTCAAATGAAAGATGTGATCCTGACAAACTCAGTAAAAGATGTTCTGTGGAATGAGTTGTTAGACTTCACCTTCAGAACGTCCTAACCGGGAACTTCTAAGACAGCAACAGCAAAGGCTGGGTAAGTTCCTTCCACCTCTGTATTATCTGGAAGATACTGAAGTTTGGCTTCATGATGGGGTAGTGGTGGGTCAGGTATATGGCCTGCTGAAAATGTAGCATAAGGTGCTCACCAAAGTCCTGCATAGAAAGTGCTCTGGGTCCAACCAGCACTGGTATGTATGGAGAAGGTGGCTGAGTGAATAGCCTGCCTTAAAGTGCTAGATCCTTTCCTACAGAGACAGAATCTGACAGGAACTCTGGGTCCTGTCCTCAGTCTACAAGCTAGCTAGACGTTCCAGCCAGGAAGCTGCCTGTAGCTCTTTGCTGGTTTAAGGACATTCCTTCTGAAGGGAAATGGAGAAGTAGATGGGGAGGGGGGAGGGAGATGAAGGCCTCGGGGAGGGGCAGAGGGAGAGAGGGAAAACTGTGGTTGGAATGTAATATATAAGACAATAAATTCATTTAGAGAATTAAAATAAAAGACATCTAGTCAGAGATAAAGCCAGCTAGCTACTTCCACTGCCCCTGCTGCTCTGTCAATTCGGCAATGCCGAGGTTGTGACGCAAGGGAAGAGAAGCACAGGAAAGCAGCTTTGAAAGCAAGCTGAGCAGTCTGAAGCCTCCCTGGACTCTTAGCTCTACTGATTTCCTTACCCTTTCATACCCTTGCTTCTCATCCGCACTACATTCAATCCCGTAAATAAAAACCTACCAATGCTCTGCTAACTACAAATCCTTTTGAACATCAGTACTCCTTTACGCTCAGTCTATGGACAGTCTCTTTGTGGAGTCGTGCACTCTCTTCCGCTTTTACACTAGTGTGGTGCTGAAGGCATGCATCCCATCTTAAGTAAAAGCAGACAGTCTACTGATAAACACAAGCTCTTGTTTTCTTATCACCAAGTAGCTTCATATGCAAATATGTGTCCCTTACCATATGCTTTCCAAATATTTTCATTTGGTCTATGGATCATAAATTACTTTCAGAGCATCTTTTAAACAGTAGGATGTTTTAACTTTAATAAAGAAGAATTCATCTATTTTCATTTCCATATTCATTCTGCTTTTCTACAAGTTTCTGTGATTTTCTAGGAGTGACATTTAAGTTCTCCTACATCGTTCCACAAGCTACTGAATACATTTCACAGACTTGACTTTGGTTGACTCATTATTTGCACTTAGGTATTTCCCAGCATTACTTGGGCCAGCCTGTACTGTTCTCATGTGTATTACTTAGCACCTATGTTAAAATTAATTAATCCTCATTAATTCAGTTGTGATACTGAACCACTTATGACATGAACACGCATGTGTGTCGATTGTTTCGGTCCCCAGCATTCTTTTCAGTGATCTTGGTATAAAGGCAAAGTCCAATTTCATACCATTCTAATTATGGTAGCTTTATAATTGGTAAAAAGAAAAAAAAAAGAAAAAAAGAAAAAAAAAGAGGTGATTTTAGACCTTTGATTTTCTTTAAAAAACAAACAAACAAACAAACAAACAAACAAACTACCTCAATATTCCAAAGCCTTAGCTTTTCTATATGAACTTTAGAACCAGCTTCTGGGCTTCTTCTGAAAACGCAATCCAGGAATACAACTGTCATGTCAATATGAAAGAAATGTGATGCATAATAATAAAGCTTATGTACCTGACGACATACACTTCTCCATGTATTTAAATGTATGTGTATAGCATTAAGTGCCCTAAAAGTGTTCTTCCTATGTCAGTATCCAGGCCAGTTTGCTACTGCATTTTCAGATCCAGTCTGGCAATCTTTGCTTCTTCATTAGATCCTAAGCTTGTCTGCATGTAATACCGTAAATACACTGACATGGCTGAACTTAAGTTTCTCATTATCTGTATGTTATATGGCTTTCTCTCTCTGTTCTTCTCATATCTGCTTCTGTTCAAATGACATAATTAGGTTCCACTTTACTTCTTGACTTGAATTTCTACCTATATTCCTGAGGGTTTTTTTTTGTCAACTGTTCCTCTGAATATTACAGTATGTTTTAAAAACTAATCCTCATTAATTCAGTTATGATACTGAACCACTTATGACGTAGTGCGAAGCCAAGACCAAGCTAGCCTCTATATGGTATTTATTATGATCTGTACATATACATATGTGCAATAAGCCAGACAATCCAATAATCCAGTGTTACCCATTTTGCTTTCCTATCATATCTTTCAGTTTAATGGAGAGATGAAAAACTAATAATCATTCATGTATTGGGAAGTATTTTTATTTTCCAGTAAGAGTTTAAGCCTGCTTCTGTAACATAGATTTTGTTCCTCTACTTATGATGTATATTTTTAAGGTGGAAGTTTTCTTTTTCTAAAGACTTGTTTATTTATGTATTTATGTATATGAATGCTTTGTTTGCATATACATCTGTACACAACAAGAGGGCATCAGATCTTATTGGGCAAGAGTTATAGGTAGTTGTGAGTTACAGATGGTTGTGAGCTACCACATGGGTGTTGGGAATTGAACTCAGGACCTCTGGAGACCAGCCAATGCTATGTCACCACTAAGCCATCCCTGTAATCTATATTCATCCCTGTAATCTATATTCTAACACTAATATTTTGATCAATTCAGGTATTAAATAGTAATCATGTCATTTTTGAAGGTATTTTATGTTTCATTTCACTTCTGTTAATTCTTAATTTTTCTCACTTACTCCTTTGAGGGACATATCCTGGTATATGGAGGTCTGAAGACAATTTGACTTTCAAGGAACAAAATGTCAGAGTATGTGGAAGTCTGAAGACAACTTGGACTTGGCATTCTCATTCTACATGTGGGTTCTAAAGACTGAGTTCAGGTGGACTGTCTCAGCAGAAAGAGCCTTTACTCACTGCACCACCTTGCTGGCCCCTTTAATAGTTAATTAAAAAAAAAAAACAGCATGATTTTAGCCATAGATAAAAACCCAGCTCTACAAAACATACAATAAGTACGTGTTCTCTGAATTGGTCTTAATCTCACGTGAAGCCATCTTCCAAAGCCACTTCCTAACATGGGTTTAATCACTTTGCATGGTCTGTCTGGAATGCCTTCTTGTGCTTCCCACTCTTCCTTGGCAGTGCTACAACAGTTCGCTTTTTTTTTTTTCCTCTGAACAATCATGTCTCCTTTCATGGCCATAAAAAATTCAGAATTCCATTCACTCTTCATGTGAAGCTAGGTACCTGGTCTGTGTATTCCTACAGCCCTCCCTGCTGGTCTCTCTAACAGCATGTACGAGTCAGCACTGTATGTGTGTGATGAACAGTTTGTACCCCACAACTGGTTCATTACAGAATGGTCTACGTCTCATTTACACATAACAAGTATGACAGGCACACAGTAGGTATATTCAGGGAGAAACAAATTGAATGACTATATACCAAAATATCTTCAGCTCACAAATTAATCTAAATTGCTAATTCTTACTGATTCATTATCATATGTATAGATATGGTCAAGATACATTTGTTTAATATTTGGAATGTGCCACATTCTACAGTCATTATTTGTTAATAGTGAAAAACAGAAAAATCATACACATAGCTTAAGCTAAATGGTAAATCTCATCTATTTTACTTATGAAAATAACATGACAACTCATTTTGGTGATTTTCACTGAAGTAATAATCTGGCTCATTCTGTTATGATAAAATCCAACTATACAAGGAACAGAGGTAGCAGGATATGTGATAACATACCAGAGATACCATGGCCCAACCAGTCTTGTTATAGATAAACTCCAAGTTGTTCCTCCTTAGATAAAGTAAACCACCAACCAGCGACACTAACAGGGCCAAAGCAATGGTGCCCGAGTAGTTGGGCGGCCGGAAAACTCGAATCTGCAAAAGACACAATGTAATTAAAAAACTGTAAAATAAATATTAATACTTTTCTTTTAATCACGTTCTAGTCATTGCTACCTTTAATTAATGTATAATTTTCCTTGAGAACTACATACAGTGAGTATATTTGGATCCTATTTACTCCCAGCTCCTCCCTTTAACCCCTGCCAGATCTGCCTCCAACATCCTGACCTCTATGTGCTGCTATCCTTGATGACCAGTTAACTCTCTTCTGTGCTATCCATACACTCCTGAGTTCGGGCCAGCCACTGAATCACATTTGACCTACAGCTTTCCTATCACTAACACAAATCCTTCAGGGAACTGACAGTCTATTCTTCCCACAGAGCTTTGATACTACGTTTACTGAGCTCTTACTGAATGGAAACACTTTGAACATCTTGGCTGTACAGAAAGACTCTCTTCCTTCTCTTCATATACTCAAGTCTATGCAAACCCTACATCTGAAACTCAGTCCAGAGCTGTTCTGGATCACACAACTAACCAACTCAACTAGCTCGCAATAGTGAGGTAAGGCGAGACAGATGTGAATCATATCAACTAGAGACTGTAAGTGTTACGTTCAATAAAGCTATTCAAACGTACCCCAGGAGTCTAACTTACCCACTTATGCATGTGAACTGCAATTCCGGTATTCACCCTAGTTGGCCTCTGACCTCTCCTTGGACACTCAGCTACAGCATACATGCAGAGACTTGCTTACATACACATTTTCAGGTATCTATGCTTTTATTACTCTTTCACAGATAACACAAAAGCTCCATGTTTAACTGAAGAATAGAGAGGCTGTTTTCAAAGTGCTCGTAGCACTATATATCCTCCAGGGGTGCAGAAATATTCCAATTATTCTACTTCACTGCAAACACTGATTATCAACGTACTATCTTTAGACACCCTACTGGGTATAAAGTATTCTCTCATTTTTGTTTGGGCTTATGTTTGCCTGCAATGTAATGATAAAAAACATTTTACTGTGTACTTATTGGGCATATGAATATTTTCTTTAAAGAAATGTTTATTCATATTAATTTTTAATTGAGACTTGATATTTTATTGATTTCATGAGCCACAGATATACCTAGATATGTGTGTGGGTCTTCAGAAAACATGATATGCACATACTTATTCTACTTTCTGCACTGTCAACTCACATCCATATTACTGTACTTTAACCTATAGAAGCTATTATTTACAAAGAGAGACAATTGGAACAAACTCCTGATTTTTAAATTTCAGATCTTGGTTCTGGTAACATTTTCTCTGGAAAGGAACAAGGATACTCTGAAGAAATGGTTAACTGAAATGTTAGGTTAAATACAGAGCAAAAACAAGAGGCTAGAGAAAATTAATGTACCAGAAAATAAGAGTATTTAAAAATAATTATGGAGCCATGACTCAGGGACCAAGAGCCTGGGGGAGAAAAGGGGGGATGGAACTCATATAGTCAAATCTCAGACAATTTTAGCACTCAGCTAATTAACAACAGCAATAAATTAGAAACAGGCATGACAGGAGAATTACTAGAGAGAAAAAGGTTATAACAAGTTCTAAAGTCAAGTGGCACTCCATACCTACCCTCTTCAAAAAAATCAAAATAAACAAACAAAAACAACGCGTGTGTGTGTGTGTGTGTGTGTGTGTGTGTGTGTGTGTGTGTAAGATATGCGTGTTTTTACAAGAGCTCGATGAGGTAAGAGAATGGTATCAGGGCTTCTGAACCTGGAGTTAGAGGTGACCATTGGCTGCCTGATATGGGTACTAATAAAAATCGAAGTCTACACTAGAGACCTTGCATGCAGACTGGGAGATGTCCAGATAAGAGACTGCCATAATCACCATCAGAGAGATTCCATTCAGCAACTGATGGAAACAGATGCAGAGACCCACAGCCAAACATTAGGTATAACTCAGTGGATTCTGTAGAAGAGGGGGAAGAAATGATTGTTGGGGCCAGAAGGGTCACAGGACATCACACGACAACCCCAAGAATGAACAAATCTGTACTCTTAGGGGCTCACTGAGACTGATCAATCAGGGAGCCTGCATGGACCTAATCTCGGCCCCCTGTATATATGTTACAGTTGTGTAGCTAGGTCTTCTTATGGGATTCCTAACCAAAGAAACAGGAGCTGTTTCTGAGGCTTCTACCTGCTTCTGGGACCCTTGTCCTCCTACTGGGTTCCCTCGCCCAGCCTCACTATGAGGGGGTGTGCAGAGTCTTACTGCAATTTGACAGGCCATGTTGGGTTGACATTCTCGGGAGGCCTGTCCGAGGAGGCAGAGGAGGGAAGCAGAGGAGGAGTGGATGGGGAGCAGGAGAAGGGAGGAGAAACTGTGGTCAGAATGTAATATATGAGAGAACAGTTTAAAACAAAAATACATGAACTGCAGTCCTTTGTAAGAACAGTAAGGGCTCTTATCCTCTATACCTCCTCTCTGATACAAATCTTAGTAGTTTCTGTAATGAATTAAATACCTTGACTGACATTAACCGAACATTGCACTTGTTAAACTGTGAGTTTTATAAAACTGTGAGTTTTGTTGGACAATACTTTAGTATAATCCTTGATGTCTCCCACCAACTAGATCAGACATTGTTGGTACATTATATTGTAAAATTTTTTTAAATGAACAAATTTAGGAAACAATTTATTTTCATCAAAGTATCATTAAAACCAATTATACAGGTGATAAAACCATGTAGGTGACAGGTATTATTATCATGAGACACTATCTCGTTTCAGAAAAATGTGTTTGTATCTTTTAGTAAAAATTCAGTGTTTATGAATAACTTTGAAAATAACTGGTTATATTTATGTGATATATAACTAACTATATGTAGTTATACAAGCTTACATATCTTATAATTTTATAAGCAGCTTTCTACACCTCATCATAAAATATATGTAAATAATTTTAGAAAATACCCATAAGCCCTCCACAAACAAATTAGTACTTACTATAAATTTGATTAATTTAATTCAGAATCTGTCTCAATCTATATACACAGTATTGCTTTAAAACAAAAGCCCAGATCACAGTGTCCATACTACTTTCTCACTGACATTGTACTTGTTAAACTATGAGTCTGTTCAATGTAAAAGTCTTAGTTTTAGACATCTGATTTGTTTCCAACGCTTTCCATTAAAGTCAGTACTGTTACATTCTTTCATGGCTATGAATCTGAATCATACTTAAGTTCAATTCCTAGAAGAGGCACTGTTTAGTTAAATTATGTAAGACAGACATGTGACACATGCTGTGTAAATGTTTAGAACAAGTGCCAGTCCCAGTGGTGTCACATGGTAGCAGGTATTTTTCCACAGCTCTTAATCTTTTCCAATGTATATAAGGCACACGCTTTAAAAACTTCTTGCTTCTTGGTTAGAATTTTCTTGATCATTAACAATATTAAACTATTTTCATTATCTTTTCCATTCCATAAATTATACTCTATTAATATACACTTTAGTGTTTGTTTAGAATATCAATTAATCATCATGTAACAATGCATCTGAACTGACTAACGAAATTTTAAGCTGCTAAGATCGGTTTTCTTGGACTGGAAATGGAGCTGACAGATCCCATTATTTCTGTTTTGTATTTCTAGGCACTTTGCATCGTCTTAATCATAAACGTCTAGAGAGACAAGGAATGAAAACCTAGTCAAAATACCGAACTGGGAGTGTGAATAGTCTGTTAAATGTGACAGTTCAGACTACATAGATCCTGGGTTCAATCCTCAGCCCAGCAGAAGACAAAGTCTTCTCTATGCAAGGAAAAAGAACAAAGTCCATAGATAAACTATAAAAAAACAAAAACCCTGCCACTTCATTAGAGCAGCCAAGCAAATGAAGTTAATTAACCTAGACATATATAAATGAACACACACACACACACACACAAACACACACACACAGTATTTACTATAGTGAAGAAGACCATACATACATGAACATCCGTCCTGTCGGCAATCCATTTTGCTAGCTGTTCAGCTGCAAATCCAATTCGTTGAAGGTCGAAAGTATCAGCTCTCTTGGGTCTGCCTTTTGAAGGAAAATGCATGAATGTGGGAGCAGAGTTCATGTTGAGCTGTAAAGCAAGTGATAAAATTCTAATTACAACAGCACCCCAACATTTAATATTATTCATCCAACATTTTATACATTTTTGTGTGAATTTAAGAAAATTTATTAGGAAAATCTGCATGGCTTTCTGAAGCTTAATTTCTATTTTTATTCATTTTGATGCACTATTAAGTGAACAGAATAGCTGAATTTGCTTAAGCTGCCTGAACTGTCACATTTAACAGACTATTCACACTCCCAGTTCGGTATTTTGACTAGGTTTTCATTCCTTGTCTCTCTAGACGTTTATGATTAAGACGATGCAAAGTGCCTAGAAATACAAAACAGAAATAATGGGATCTGTCAGCATGTGGATGACTCTGCTTCTTCAGCAGTCACTGGGACTGGGCAAGTAGGGGCACACTAAAAGACTGATTTCAAACACATTACCTGCAAATCCAATTTCCTATTCAAAATTTAAAGGCTATTCTTTTTAGTTAATGGTCAATAAGCAACAGAAAAAATTATTTTTGTTCTAAACAACTTGAATATAGCAAAAATAGGATAAATCTTTGATGCAGTCATGTTCTGTTCAAATTCTTAACTGTTTTAAAATGGCTAAGCACAGAATACTTTTCTACAGAAAATACCTGTTCAGAAAATACACTAAAAAACACTGCCATAGTCTAATGTTTATTAGCCACTTAATAGGATAATTTGACTTAGAAACTAACTACACTATCAATATATTAAATAGCTGCTGAGGATTACAATAAAAAGAACATAAAATAAAACGCAAAGAGATTAACTTAACAAGAATCAAAATCAAGTGTCATGTCAGATGGTAGCTGGCAACAGGTGAAGCCAAGGAGAACTATATTTACAGTCAACGCAAAACAGACCTGGCCCATAAACAAATGCTGACGGTGGCCGCTGTATTCAGAAAATAGCCCAAAGTAACTATAGATCATCAGACAGCTTAGCACAAAGAAAATCTGAATCCTAAAAGGCAGTATGTCTCTATCAACTGTTTCTCATGTGCACTACAGCAAATGCTATCAAATGCTCATTATTTACTGCCACAATATCTTAAGTACTCCTGGTAAAGAGGGAATGGTAGGTCTCCATTTGCCCTGGTTTCTCTGTTTATCCCCTTCATACCAAAAGCCATCATGTTAAATTTAAATTGCCACTGTTATAGTGAGGTGATTATGCCATGAGAGCTCTTCCTTGAGCTCTATCCCCAAGGAGAGCGTGTACAGTTTTTAAAAAGGCTGCTTCCCTCTTCATTCCTCCCTGCTCTGCTTCCCACAGCTATATAAGATGGCACTCTTCATATGCTGACATATTAGTGTCTGCTCTGTAGCTGCAAGCCAGTGCACTGGTAGCTGTATTTCCCTAAAAGGTAGCCAGAGATTGCCTTACTGTTTTTTATTTGCTTAGCCTAACTTTGTCCTCTTTCTGTACAATACAGATTTAGCCAAATTCTGCAAAAAAAAAAAAAAAAATGTAGTGTGAGGATGACAAATGCATGCTAATGTCATTATTAATTTATATACGATAGCAATTATTTTATAAAAATATATCAGGGATACAACTAAGTATCTTCACACATTATCATCTAATTCTAGTAATTTATACATGTTATTTTTCTTGTGTGCATACAGACATAGAGCACAGCATGATCATGAAATCTTCAAGTTGCTCAGCTATGAAGAAGTAAAGCTAGACTGTGACACTGGACCTTGTGCCCTCCGTACAACCATTCCATTCTAGCACAATGCTCACAACTTTCTTCTTTTGAAAACGACTTCTGAGTTTTATAAGTAATCTTAATAGAAACTTTGAAAAGTTCATTATAAAACAAAACCATTAAAACCTGTTCTTATGGTAAAAGTCTGACAAATTCTAACATATCACAACATATATCATACACCACATACCATATCATTAATATACTGTGTATGTCTGATATATGTATATGGACACACACACACACACACATGGTATGCACGTATCATACAGGAATTTCTCTGAATTGAAATAATACCTCCTGGTGTACAAAGAGAAGCTGCTCCTGTGACCTGAGCATTAAACAACCTTAAAAACCTGGAGAGCTAAAACTTAGAGGCCCCCAAAGGGCTTCCAGATGGTTATAGAAGCAGAAAGCAGCTGCTGGCAGAACAGGCTCTGGCAATAGAGCTGTTTGGAGGACACTGTCCAACCTGTCGAGCTGCCTGCAAGTCATGCAAAGAACTCAACGTTTGCAGCTGTCACGCATCATCACTCACCCATGTTGTAGCTTGGAGTACGTCACCTGTGCTCCTGTAAGCAAGTCCTCACCCATAGCCTATAAGTAACCCTATAAACACACTGACTCCCAAGCTGATTTTTATAGAATCCGTTTGGTCAGTCATCAGTTCCCTATCTGAAGTAGGGAATAGAGTTTGTTTTCATATTCCCCATAAAAGGCTCACACAATAGGATGACACAAAATATGTTTGTGTGGAAGGACGGTTATCTTATTCCACATCCTGATACATTATTGCTCTAAACAAGTGATAATCACAGCAACAATACCATGTCTGACAGGTTCCTTGAGAAGCAGCCCTAATGAATATGTATAAGGTACTCAGCAGGCACTGCTGGTCACAGAAGCAGTCATGATGCCACAACTAAGGAAGTATGCACTCTCTGTGATGACTAGCATCCTCATGCCTAAAGTCAAGCTTCCGTCTCCTGAGAAGACTGTGCATGTGAGTACATTACACAGCACAAATGCTGTTATACAAAGTAGGGAACGTAAACAAAAGAAGTTTATTTTCTGATATTTCTGGAGATGAAATTCCAAGATCAAGGTGAATGGCAGGGCTGAATTTCTGGGGAAGCTCCTCTTCCTAGCATACATGAGACCTGAAACCGTCTTATTCCTGCGTTTCCAACTGCCTGTCTCTCAGCACATGTCTTTCTGTTATTTCTTCCTCATAGGAGGAAAAAAGTGATTTGTGACTCATCCTTGGACCCTCTTTAATTCTCTGTCTCACACACGGTCACAGGTGATTTATAGCTTCAACACTGGCATCTGTGGGAGAGATCTAGGCCATAACAAAAAGAAAAAACTTCTGATAAATACAGGATATTTTACAGATAAAATTCTATCTGTGGAAGAAGCAAGTAGAGCTAAGTGGGGAAAATGTATGCTACAGAAGCATGAGGTCCTCAGCTCAGACCACCTGCATCCATATGTGGTGCCACACACACACAGCTGTAGCCCCAGCACCGAGACTGGGATGCAGACACGTTGATTCCATAAGTCAGCTGGCCAGCTAACCACACCAAATTTCCAATATCCAGGGTCAGAGAAAAACCCTATCTCAAAAACAAACACCAAACAGGATCAGGAAGTCTCAGCGGAAGAAGGCACTCCCTACACAACCCAGGCAACCTGAGTTTAATGTACCACTCAAACAAAGGCATGAAGAGGTGAAAGCACAGAACTGCCTCCCTCCACAACACAGTTCTCTGACACCACCATGGAAGACATGGCATGTATACTAACACATACATCATGCACACGTGTTCATACAATGATGCACACATACCCACATTCACATATGTACACACACATCACACACACATACATTAAATAAATAAGTTGCACTTAATACTATATGAAATGCCATAAGACTGTGTGAAATATGACCTATCCAATATGTAATATCAAATTAAAATTAATGCATGTGTTTGGCCACTCTATGATAAAAAAGCACATTTCCTTCAAATAGAAAGTGTTTTTACTATAATAAATTGACAAAAGATATATAATGATGAGGCTAGCAAAGTCTCTAAATTTTAACTCTATTTTAACCACAACAGTAAGTTGTATTTTATCATGTAATCAAAATTTTATCAAAAATAACTCAGTTATGCATTTAGAAATAACATATAGAGTTTTTACCTGTTGAAAAACATCTGTCCCTTCATCATAGTCCACCATTCCAAAAAACAGTTTGTTGCAAAAAGCAGATGAATAACGCCAGGAATTAGCCAGGATTTGATATTCTTCGTTAGCCTGCCTGGAACAGATAATGGAGCAGAACAGAAATTTTAGTATGCAATGACCAGTGTCATTGCTAGAACAGGCAACTAACTCTAGGATAGAGTCAACCAATGACTGTATAGATCATCATCTCACTAGGACTTGGATGAACTGCAAACTACACTGCTGTACACATAAGATCAACAAACACTTTTTAAAAAGAAGTATATCAAACTACAAGTGAACTCGCCATCAACAGTGTAACTTGCTACACAGCCACACTCATATGCACACTGAATTGCTTCTATTATTTTAAATCAATCTGTGTAGATTAAGTTTACAGTATAGGTTATAAATGTTTCTAAATACCGGAACTTAATACTAAAGAGGGGTTGATTATGTCAAAGCAGAAGAATTGGTGTGCTTACTAATTTTTATATCATAAATCAAATAATCCAGAAACATCTATATTTAAGGCATAGAAAACACAATAATTTCACCTGTATTTTTAAGTGTCCATTAAATGGAACTTAAAGTAATAAATATTGTTAAGTCTAATATGAGCCAATTTATTACTAAAATCAATTTACTATATGAATATTATAATAGCTACACACACGGGTCCATCAAATTCTAAAAAATATATAAGGAAGCAATAATAACAATCTCTGTCCACCAGACTGTAAATAGTGGATGTAGGATCCATGATGAAACAAAGTGTATCATTCAGTATTTTGTTAAAAAAACATTGTTATAAAAATCAAACAGGAAAATGTACAATCATTAAGGACTGGCATTCCTGTGATAATGACATCTATAAAATGAAAATGCACCAACATAAAATATGAGAAGCCGGAATAAAATCGTATTTCTGATTTTCTATGCAAAATGCACCAATATAAAATATGAGAAGCCGGAATAAAATAATATTTCTGATTTTCTATCATTTGTTAGAACATAACAGCTTATAATGAAATGTTCTAAAACAAAGATATCGTATTTTCTTATATTATAAGGTGATCCAGGCATATCAGAGTCTATCAAATATGCATATATGTAATAATTAATTCAATCCACAAATCTCTGACTTGGAAAACAATGTGCAAATGACAAATGCAAAATCCCTGACTTCAACAAGCTTTCCTTAAAGAGAGAAAGATCTTACACAAACACAAACTATCAGGTAAATTCAAGTTCTCTGGAGCCTTTTAAAAATCTGTTAAAAACCCATGAATCATAGGTGAGCTCCCTCTGCTGTGACGTTGTTACTCTACTGCCATTTTACTTTTTTGATTTCCTAGTAATCACTTGTAATTCCATTACAAAATCCTACGCACAAAATTCTCCACACCAGAGCCACGCCCATACCAAGTTTGGTCTACTTCACGAAAATGCCACAGTCACTCCTACAAGGTACATCAAATATTTTGTTTAGATTTCTCTCTCTTTCTTCAAAAGTCAGTACAAAACCTGCCACTTCTGTTGAATGGCACCCCAAGTCTACACTTGTAATACTTGCTGGTGCCACTGACTGCAACAGAGACCCTCAGCTAAAGTACAGAAGGATTTACTGGAAGTACATTAGCTGTTCTATGTGGAAGTACAGATTGTCCACTGTTTAGAACCTGGAAGGTTCCCCACTAATGGTGATGAATAATACGCTGTCCTTCCTCATCAGTAAATCATAAATACTTTTAAAGATGAATTTTCCACATTAGAGACTCTCAATTCTGGTATGTGAATGGCAACTGAGATTTATTATATTTGATTTACGGCCCTTGGGGGAACAACATTCACCTTCTAATCTACCACACTATAAAAATAATATAATTTTTCTCATTTATGCTCATTTCAATGAAATGATAACTTGGTTTACTTTATTGCTATAAAACATAACTACACCATACAACTGGGGAAAGGACAATGTGGTAACGTAGCAGAGACATCACGACCCAGTCTTGTTACAGATCTACTCTAAGCTGTACTATCTTAAATAGAGCCAACCGTCAACAAGAGGAACTGAGCTAAGGCCATCTATGCTACGTGGCCAATGAATATCATTTATGACTCTAAACATTATAATAAATAAATCACTGAGAGACATGTTGATGCCAGTTTTATAGGCAAATGTGGACTTGAGAATATAACGATATTTATACTTAGTATTTTAAGTAGTTGTTGCAGTAACAAAGAAATACAGGTAACACTGTCTACCTGAAGAGACCACAGAAAGAAACAGATGTGCATGCAATGACAGCACAAAAATATGAACCAAAGTCTTAGCTGTGCCTTATACTTGCACACATAAAATGGGAGAAAATGGACTGGAACCATGGCTGCCTGGAAAGATGCAGAAAAAAAAAATCAGGCCTGTCCTAATGACTCAATTTATGAACAAATCCAGCAGGGAAAGACAGAAAGACAAGTTAGTCTCAAATGTTTCTGTGTTCAAGAGAATCGAGGCTTCATATCAGACAAAAGGAAAAAAAGACTAAGAGAAATAGGAGTGTGGCTTCCTTCTATAAACAGCAGGCAGCTTCAGAGTTTTTAAAAAGAAGTACATTTGCAAAGCACCATTTGCACTGTCTGACAACCACATGTCTGAGGGAGAGTGAGATTATGATAAATGTCTGGAGCCCATTCGAGATGGTCAAGTTGGGAAAACATAAGTTACTAATATATAATCATGTGACCTATTTTGAATACACACTTCTTTAGAATCTAGAAGGCCAAAGCATCCAACTAAAATTTCTGTGAAAGCTTAGTTAGTTTTGATTGTAGACTTCATACAGAATAGATTCAGCTGGGAAGGCAATCTCAGTAAGTAATTACTAGATGAGTGGTTTTGTAGGCATGCTTGTGAAGGGTTTACGTATTCAGGCTAACGAAGATAGGCAGACTCACCCTCAATGTGAGCAGCACCGTTTCCTGGACTGGGCCCAGGGCTGATGAAAAGGGAAGTGTCCTAATCACTGTCCTATTGCTGTGAAGAGACTCCATGATCAAGCAAGGTATAGAAAGCATTTAATTGGAGGCTTGTTTAGTTTCAAAGAGTTTTAATCCATGATCATCGTGGCAAGAAGCAAACTAGCATGGCTGTAGCTGAGAACTTTATGTTGATTCACAAGCAACAGGAGTGGGGGTGGGTATGGGAAGAGAGAGAAACTGGGCACAGGGTTTTGAAGATTCAAAGTCCACTTCTAGTGACACACCTCCTCCAAGTCACACTTCCTAACCCTTCCCAAATAGTTCACCATCTAAGGACTCAGCATGCAAGCATGAACATGCAAGCACAGGAGCCTATGGGAACCATTCTCACTCAAACCACAAGAGACTGCCTTCTGCATGGCATCCTGGCATTCAAGTGCTTTCTGCTTTTGACTTTTATACAAAGTAACAAGCTGCTTCAGGATCATGCTGCCTTGTAATCCCCACAAGGGTGCAGAATAGTCTCAAATTGTGAAGTGACCCCTTTCTGGCTTGTCATCAGAGCATTGTATCACAGCAATAGGAAAAAAATACTAACACAAAGCTTTGGAAATATTTCTACTTTAAAGAAAGGATTTCATGAAAGTCAAAGCACATTACAATTGCCGAGCTCAAATACAAAACTTTGAGCAAAGTTCATATTGGCAAAACAAATGGATGCTTTCTCCCACTTGAATGTACTCAGCAACAATAGGGCCAATGAGCAAATCTATCTCTAAAACAAAACTAAATTAAACATGCTTTAGAAATATGTATTATTAAAAAAAGAAATATGTATTATTAATGCTATCTATTCAAAATACAAGTAATGTATCAGAAATAAGTGTGCTCAATGATATAAAACCTATTATCCCCTGTACCCACCAATATTCTAACTTAACAGGGAATTTAAAAATCTAACAACAAAAAAAAAAGAAAGAAAATAAAGGAAGGAAGGAAGGAAGGGAGGGTGGGAGGGAGGGAGGGAGGGAGGGAGGGAGGGAGGGAGGAAGGAAGGAAGGAAGGAAGGAAGGAAGGAAGGAAGGAAGGAAGGAAGGAAGGAAATCAATCAAGTAGAGCCTATTATGTTTGTCAACTTGTACTAAGAGCACACACATATAGTGTTCCTGGTGATCAACACTATTGAGGCCTCGCTGTCATTCAAAATTCAAAGCAGAAACCACAAACACCAGGAGCACACAAATAAATAACTACATTGTTAAACGCGTCTTCTTTCTGGAGTGGAGGGATCCGGCAAAAATGAATGTTCCAAGCCCAGGTAAGGAAGGAGCACATGAAATGTTCTAGTATGTACATACAGAGCCTGAAGAGGGCACTCAAGCTGCATGAGAAGAATCCAGTGTTGTTCGGAAATAACCATGGGGCACTGTTCTGTTAAATCTCTTGTATTAAATTTTCTCCATTTTTTATTAAAGAACAAGAAAAAAAATCACTTAATTCAAATGCTATAATTTTTTACATTATACTCTTTCTTAAAGGTTATGTAGAACTAAAAAGGATTATTAACTCATCTATAATTCTATATATTTAATACATTTCCTAAGATGAATGTAATTTTTATCTTTAAAGCATTTTAAAGGAATGTTTTAAAAAGTAGTCTCTCTTCATAACATTAGATTCATATTAAGAATATGTCTTTATAGTTATGCATTTATGATGAATTACATATATATAAACATATATTACCTAGTTACTTCAGAGTATGTCTTCATAGAAGCTCAAATAATTCCAACAGACAGGGATTTGCACAGATTTGATGCCAACTTGCCTACTGAAGAAGCTTCTGGTGTTATGAATGGGAGAGTGAGAAAACAATAAACAGCATCTTTTAAAGCTTCTAACTTTTCTGGTTGTGCTAAGCTGACCAGAGTGTTAGCCTGTGCCTCACTAACTAATACAGCCATGTTAATGGGAATATTTACTCTCTGGTGGCAGCGCCAAGGTTTTACTCCATCACGGGCTGACTACACATTACTTTGGACCTGAGGACAAGAAGAGTAAGATAATGGCAGGAACATGTGAAGAGGTTGTTCTCCTCAAGGTGGCCAG